ATGTACAGAAAAACATATTTGTGTTTTATTTAGATGTTGTGTGTGATTACTTCTTGCTGGGCAGAATAACACCGTCGTACTTCTCCTGGAACCACTTCATGGCGTCCTCCTTGGTGAGCCGGTGCGGCGCGCCGACGGCGCCCGTCTTGGCGCGGCGCTTGTTGATGTCAAAGCCCGGGCGGCCGAGCACCACGAAGAAGTCGAGGCCGTAGATACCGATCGAGGGGTCGTACTTGATGCCCAAGTCGATGTGCTCCTGGATGCCGAAGCCGAAGTTGCCCGTCGCCGAGAAGTTGTCCTTGCGCAGCTCGTACTCCTTGACCTAAGCCAGAGCGATAAATGGAGAACGTTAGGAATGTTCTATTTCCTCAAACAAAAGTGTGTGTGTCAACACAGAACGTACCTTCAGACCCTTCTCGAGGATCTCCTCGGCCTTGGGGCCGCGGACGGTGCAGTGGACGGCGATCTTCTCGTTACGGCGAATGCCAAAGGATCGCACGGTGTAGCGCGCCTTGGAGTAGACGGGCGTCTGGCCGGTGAGCTGCTCGAGCACCTTCGAGGCTCGGGTCAGCCTGTCACCGGACTCGCCCACGCAGATGTTCAGGCAGAGCTTGCGAATGCGCACCTCTCGCATCGGGTTCTTTCGCTTGTCCTTCGCGACGATGCCGCCCGTCTTCTTCGCGGCGGCGGCGGCAGGGGCGGCCTTCTTACCCTAAAGTGAGGCGAAAAAAGAAGCACAAGTTTTAGATGATGCTGAATCACACAACAAGGATAGATGAGATTTGAAGGAAGGGTTTAGGTAGTGTCACGAAGGTATAGTAATGCCGGCGCAATCGTCAGTAGCAGAGTACAGTAGTGCAAAGGCATGTTGCAATTTGGTTCTTATTGTGGGCAGGATTCCAGTGGGTAATGCGAGGGAATCAACCAAAGCCATGAGAGGATTGCTCATCAACTTTGCCATAAACTGCCGTCGGTTGGAGTGAGAGGGAAGTGTGTTGATGACCTCTGGTCACCTCGGGCGGTCCAGGACCGGCGGAAAGACGTACCTGAACAGTCATTTCGGTGCGGGTAAACAGCGATGGATGCAGCAGTAGCCGAGGGGAAAAGGCCGAGAACACGCGATCAGTAGCGCAGCAGCGGAAAAGAAGGCAGCTGATGCCGTCAGCCTGGACGGAAACATGCGCGAGCCACTCGGGTAGAGGACGCCGCCGCCAGAGGCAGCCGCTGCTGGGGTGGCAGTAGTCGCCCACTGTTGTTATTTTTTTGTTGCAGCTGTCACTTTTCTACTTTTGATCTTCTTCTTCTTCGGCTGATCTTCAAGTGGCAACGATGGCCCAGATGTTGCCGCCCCCTCCTCTCATTCAGGACTCTGATCTCACGCGGAAAGTGCGCAAAAGTGA